ATAGAGATTAAATGTGTTTTATAAACGTCGATAAAATTAACGATATAATCACAACATACATATAATTATTCATGCTCTATAATTGCGCAAATTCAACGTTAAATCTCCGGACGCCCATAAATATTTTATATATACTTAATTAATAATAATGTATTATACAATTGTAATAATTAAACTGCGCGCGAATATGATAATTATGCATTTTATTGCGTTCTTCGTGTCCGCTGCAGATACTCGGATCATGATATATACATATTTTATTTTATAATAATATTCCGTGGATAAAATGGTAAGTTACATCTAGCTTTGTAAACACGTATCATTGTTCAATGTTTACTCGATTATCGGGCTCGAAATAATCTCTCCGCATATAAAATGAAAACGCTACCGGTAGACCGGTACCTCATATCAACTTATCGATTAGAAATTTGCGGGAAATGGAAATAATGGCGTTAAAATCGCGCCAGGTTGTTGAAACCTATTAAGGAAACGCGTTATCCCGAGAGAAATGGAACCTCGTGAGATAAGAAATCACGGCAAAGCGATTTCACGTCGCTCTATCAGAGTGATTATCGCTCCTTGTCTTTTTCCGCGTTGTTTCGCGCGGATGTAGAAAAATAACGACCATCGCTAATCGAGATCGTTATCTCGATAACTGAGTTCGTGACGATACCATTTTTCCATGCTCCGCGATCAACAGATCTCCGAGAGCTGCAGAGGTAATTTTACATCCGGATTACCATCTGGCCGTATTAAAATTTCCATATTCCGACATCATTTTCCGCGGCAGTCTCTCTTACAGGGCTCGGTGTAGGTATTTTTATTTAAACTTAAACCGTGAAACGTTTAAACCGGTTTAAATTCGTCTTAATTTTTCTGCGAGCACAAATCGATAATATAATATCATAATACCGTATTGTAAAAAATATCGGAGTGAATTTATCATCATGCGGCGTCTGTATAAATCTCATTGTGTTAATGTTAATATTAACGCGATATGAGTAAATTTATAACCTCTGGTTTATGTCAACATCGTCACACACATGGTGTGAATTTAAAACTCATGTGTTACACACATTGTATTGATTTATACATATTAATAACAATAGTGAAAATTATACATATATTATAAATTGCTGTTAAATCCACACTTTTCTCTTTTTACAAACGCGATATAGCTCTCATCGATTCCGCGTTGAAAGAATCACGTTTATGATTTTTGAAGGGAATATTTATCGACAAAAAACCGTTATTAAATTATTCACGAATATAAGCTCTTGTTAATAATAATAATAATAATAATAATAATAAAAAAACGAAATCTAAGATAATGATATCACTAAGATCGTCGAGTTACAAAAAAAGAAAGCGCGACGTTTTTTGTAAATGATTCTTTTCCATTTGTTTGTTGCGTTTTTTTGTTATTTCTCGTTAATAACTTCTTTCTCGCGGAAAAGTCACGAGAGATGTACACGTACGTATAAGTACGTAGGCACGTAGGCAGGCCGCGTGAATTAATTGCCATTTGTCCCGTGACGTGAAACGTATTATACAGAAAAGTTCGTTTATACGCCCCATCGTTTTCGAACAATGTAATGTACACACATATACCCCCGCCCGCGTGTTCGCTTACTCTCATCGTCACGTGTTCACGACACGAAACATGTGAGTCGTCACATATAACTTATGTGGGTGTTTCTCGCGACGTATCCAAGGAACTTGGACTTCTATATACTTACCACGTTGGTGCCCCATTTTCAGAATTTCGATGCGATCGATTCGTCCATACATTGACTGCCACGTCATTCATGTATGGGACTTACATACATTTCATGAAAAGCTTCTAGGAAAGTGCAACACGTACGTTTCTTTTTACTCATTTTCTCTTATAAAACATTACGGAAATTCGATGTCATTTATATTTGAATGACGAGGCACTTTCGGGGGGGGGGGGAAATATAATAAAGAGTGTCATTCACATGACGTGACTGTCATATGCTAATGGGATCCTGTTCTCACGAAGCTTATTTTATTAATTCGATTTTTTAAGAAGAATCTCAAGTTTTTTTTGGTGAGAATTTGGTTTGGCAATAAATGATTGCGAGGAGAAATATATCCTTTCTCATTCTTTCCATTTTTGCGAATGCGGAATACATTTTGTATTTCGAGGCGATTATCATATATGAATAATCGCCTGACAATGAGTGATCGTTTCTCCTTCAACGGACCTTTGCCATGTTTCTTTTATATAATAATAAAATAATAACAAGATAAAATAAAAGGTTCAAGCACGGAAAGAATTTTACTCAAGTATTTTACTAAAAAAAAAAAAAAAAAAATTAGCTAGTAAATATATAATATTATTATTATATAATACAGATTTATAATAGGAAATAATTTGTTGGATCATTAAACCTGCACAATAATGTAGAAAGCATAATACTGCAAGAGATTTTGATATAGTCTAGCAATCAGCTTGTCCTATATAATTATTTTGATAGTCGAACAAAATTATTTTCAGATATGTATTAGGTGGACCGGAAAGTAATGTCGTTTCTGCGCATGTCGATATTCGTTTGTCATTTATCATTGTGTACTTCAAAGTCGTGCCAAAGCATTTAAAAAAAAAACGACGTTACTTTCCGGTCCCCCTAATATATTTAGTTAAATTTTTAGATACTTTAGCAAAACATTTTAAATATACTTGTTTCCATGTGGAATCACAACACGTGTATCTTATTGTCGTGTATTACGCATATATATGAAAGCGACTGCGAATGCATCCGCGATAGAACCAATTGAAAAATGTCTTCGGCATTACGTCTACGATATTTAATGGTCGCAATTGATTTCTACGTCAAGACATTAAGAGATCAAAGCGAATAAAGCATGACTCGTTTTTTTTATCGAATTACGTCGATACAACTCTCATCGCACGAAACGACGAAGGGGAGAAATATATAATATAATACAATACGTCGTTTTCGCGGTTGCTCGATTTGTCTTTCGGCCACGCACCGTAACTGGATCACATATTGAAACTCTAATGATGAGAGTAGACGAGGGGGAGGGGAATCCCCGATCCCCGACGAACCATTTGTCGTAGGTCAAGGATTACACAGGCATATCTCGTCGGGCATATCTCGAACGACAGCGTCCTGCTCTTTTCGCACGCGCTTATTAAGCCGTGATCAAACTAGAAAATGAGATTAAGAGATTGAATTAGAATTTAACCTGCAATCAGAATAAAGAAAACCAATTTCAAGTTTAGTAAAGTTTGCTTCGATTGATTAAATTTCAATTCAATCTCAATCTCTAGTCTGATTACGGGTCTATGCACTTTTTGCGAGAGATCGACGAGTGCCTTTCCAGTTTCCGCCCACGCGGCGGCGGAAACAATTGCATTTCAAGTTTCTCAGATTCTGCGAGCTAAGGCGATATCGTACTCGCGTCACGAGTTGACGAGTTGACTCGTTTCAATTACAAATACAATCTGCAGACGATCTGTATGCAATCGTTGATCGTGCAGTGCAAAAACTCTGTCCATCAAGCCCACTGATCGTTCTCGCGCGCATAGATGAAGAACGCAGGAAGCTGTGCTGTATTTTACGATATTGTATGAATACAGCGAATTACAGAATGAGTTCGAAATCATCTTGCTGTTATGATCTAATGGATTTAAATGATGATTTCGATTCTCGCGAAACGGCTCGTTCCATCCTGTTGATTCTGAACTTTCAGAGGGTCAACCATTTATTCCCTATAAAGCGGAAACGTAAAAACTTTTTTTAATGTATGTGTACATATTATATGTCTAGAGAAAGTCATGAAACATGATCAACATTCTGGAGTTAATCATCGATCATCGATCTGTGACTAATTTGATTAATAATAAAGAATCCCGTACGAATTATATCGTATGTATAGAAAATTAGAATCCGATAAAATGAGTTGGTTTTCACATACATATATTATATATTATATATCTTATATAATATGTAATGAACGAAAGATGTCAAGGCTCAGTAATGGTCAATTTTGGAGCCAAGGTATTTTATTACGTGCTCACAAAGTACCTTTTACCGCATCACAGCTGAAAAATTACCTGAATTCTTGAACCTTGTGTCTCTATGATGGCATCTTTTATTCATCAGATTATGACTCATTACATTATACCTATATGTAAAAACTAATTCATTTCACCCAAAATTATTACAACTACATATTATACATATAAGGCATGAAAAGTTGCTTTGACCGAATACGGTTTGCTTCGCTCATTTGTGTTGTTAACAATTAATGATGCGATAAGAGGTGGTTAGCTAGCTCGCGGAGCAGAGCTACCGAGTTGGCCACGTGCCTCCTGCGTGCACGTGCCTGTCGCCCGAGATCCAGTGTTTACCTGCAGTATCATGCCGTCGCGTCGTCAAGTTTCGTCACTCCGAAGTATAATACTAATCGGCGATATCACGTACGAGCTCACGCGACGAGTGAATTTTCTTTCTCGTTATCGGCACGGACAGACGACGCGATTCGCACAGGTGCGCGCGCGCGTGCACGCGCAGCGGAAAGTCGGTGATCTCTAATAAGAATGGAGTAGCGTACACGCATATATGCGTACGCGCGGCGGATTGGTGAGAGAAGAACGTCACACACGTAGGTACAAAGCCATCTCGCGCGATGTGTGTGTGTGTGTGTGTGTGTGTGTGTGTGTGTGTGTGCGCGTGCGTGCAGACACGACGCGCCACATATGAGGGAGCGCTCGCGCGATTTCTCCTCTCCATCTTTCTCTTTCTTTCTCTGTCTGCATCGTTTCGGTGTAATTCTCTCTCTCTCTCTCTCTCTCCCTCCCTCCGTTTCTCTTTCATCATATCATACACACTATCACAAGTATCACGAGATCACGATATCGGTGGATAAGGGGACAATTAAGCGGCAAAAGTATATATATATATATATATATATATGTGTTGTGTGTGTGTGTGTGTGTGTGTGTGTACCTTGGTATAGTGATGCACTTGGTGTTGCAGCTCTGCGTCGTGATGGCCTTCTCGAGCTCGTCGAGGCCCGCGGACTTCTTGAGCTTCTTCACCAGGCTTTTAACGGCCTTCTCGCTCCATTTGTCCTCGCTCTCGGCCTTCTTCCAGCCCAGCAGCCGCTTGACGATAGGCGGGTTAAAGCTGGGCAGCATCGAAGTCATCATTTGCCCTGAGAGGAGCGCGCGCGACCCGCATCGGGGCCGCTTCGACGGCTTGTCTTGTCGTCGTCGTCGTCGTCCTTGTCGTCCTTGTCACTCGGTCATTCGTCACTCTCGTCAGTCGTCAGTCATCAGTAGTCACGGTGCGCACGGTACAGGTCAGTATCGTTTGCCTCGCGCGGCGCCTCCGGTTGTCCCAGGTCGCCCCAGGTCACCCTAGTCCGACTCACGAGAGATTCACGGATCAGCCACTCGGATCAGCGGATATGTGCGTGAGCGCGCGCGCGCGCACCCCAGCCGAATTGTCGAATTGCCGAATACCGAATTGCGGATCGCGGATCGCTACTCGCGACTCGCTACTCGTGACTCGCGACTCGCGCTCACGAGCCCCGTACACAACAAGATCACTCACTCTCGCGACTCGCACGCAGACGGCAAATATCTTGTCACAGCCGCCATAGCGTACTCCAATGTCTCCAATACTTCAATGTACTGCAGTCTACTGTGAATGCACGACTCGGCCCCGCTCGGCGGAGATCGACCATTATCGGTCAGCCGGTTGCGGAGCGCGGAGAGACTAGAACTACTAGAAGAGCAAACTCTCATCTTACTTAAGGCTCGACACCGCCAAACGCCAAGAGTCATGATAGAGACCTCTGTTTCGGAGGCGCGTTTAGCAGATTCAACGATTGAACGCTCGCTGCTATTGGTTTATTCTTCTGGATCTCAAGATCTAATTGGACGATCTAGAAGAATGCACCAATAACAGCGAGCGCTCGCTCAACAGCCATCAATGAGAGCCATCACACACCAACTCTTTGCAACAAACTGCGGCCCTATTCTTGAGCACATATGAATAATTTTCGCATACGATTGTGATTGGTCGATTGTATACGGAATTGCTGTTTTCGTATGCGATATTTGTTCAAGAATATAGAGCCCAGATTGCGGCTACTATGACTATGGAAACCGAATTACGGTTACGGCCTATTATAAATCGGGCTTTATTATAAATCGTGTATTCGTGTATTCCGGTATAATCTGGTATTTGATAGGTTGAAATCTTAATACTTATTCCTGTTCCTAATATTTGTTCTATTGTGTGTAGGCCCAAAGAATCGCATAAATATAGGGACTCTAGCTACTGGAAGCGTGTGGCGACATCTGCGCAAACAAAACAGGAAGTGACCGGTAGCGTTTAAAATCCAACGTTCTTTTTAAATCTCTTCTTGATGTTGCGTCCATCCATTTAAATCACGCTCTCGCCACACAGGCGGCAGGAATCAGAAATATCAGAGTTCACGCGGCATTGGTATGTACAATGTACATACGTACACGTTACACCGACACCGACGCGTATCTTAGACGTTGATAGAAATTGAATTAATCAAGTGGTGTTACAGTTTTCCAACTGATTGTTTTTCGACACGTTTCTTATCTTGTCAACAACAATTCGGCGTTGATTATCTTCCATCTCGTCGACGCGTGTATACATATTTCGGGTTTCGTCCTCAACTTACTTGTTTCAAAACTTTTCCAGCGGTCGATCGTGCACTCGAGGACACGTCGTTTTTGTTCGTTATGTCGCACTTGAGATTCATGAAGGAGCTCGACAATTTAACTCGCATGGATGACGCTATCAAGGGCGCAATTCCGCGTTGGCAAAAGAAATGCATGGAAGCATCGAATTTAAGGTAACTATCTTAAATTTTGTCGAGAATCTGATTGTTGATACTGATTATTAAATTGGTAAATTCTTGTGCCATCAACTTACATTATAATTACAATTTACATGAATTTTGAACATTGGGTAAATTTGTTAGATGTGCGTGCAAATATATTGGCTTTGTTTGATTGCAAATTGCCTTATACATTGCCTTATACTTATGTACCTCATGTTGCAGCATTAATCACAGTTTAAACTCGTCGAAGAAAATTACTTCTTTCACAAGCAGTGTATCAGGAAAGACCCCGACGAAGAAAAATGATTGCAAGACCAAGAAAACTCCCTCCAAATATATCAAGAAGTCTCCAAGTAAGATTTCCTAATATTTATACATTGTTAATGAAAGAAACAAAATTTTAATTGCATTTTATAATAGGTCGAGCCACTACTCCAGCCAAAACACCCAGCGGTGGCGACAGATTCATTCCGTCGAGAGCCACGACTAATTTCGAATTAAGCCATTTCAAGGTAACGAATATTTGTGACTAACAGCAAATTCAGTTGGATGCACTAGTGTGCACTGATGGACATTAAAATTGTTGTGTATTAATTTAATCCGAGTGTAAAAATAAATTACAAATATTTTAAATATATATTTTATCTAACAGTACAATAAAGTGTATCGAAAATTCCGTGATTTAATCCTGTATTAATACTAAAGAAATATCTTTATGCCAATTTCTGTACGATGATTTTTATCCATTGTGCACTGAATGTGCTCATTCAAAAAATTCTCTATAGGATATTTGAAATTTCCTTGACATATTTGTGCACTATTTTTTCTACTTTAGATTCTTCAACAACAAAATGCTGAACAAGATAAAGACAAAGCTGATAAAATGAGTCCTAAGAAACGAGAGATGCAGCGTCTCATAGGAGAGAATCTTCATGGTGGTGATATAAATAATGCACGAGTTTTATCTTATCAAATTAAAGCACCAGCACCGCCAGAAGGATATCAGAATCCTCTCAAAGTTCTGTACAGTCAAACTAAAACGCCAGCTAGTGTCAGAGCTCCGACGAGATACATACCGCAAGCCCCTGATAGAATACTGGATGCACCTGAAATTATCGACGATTATTGTAAGCGATCTGCCTTTGCGTTTTTTATTTACTAAAGGCATGAAAGAATACTTGGATAAAAAAAAATACGATTTTTACAGATTTAAACTTGGTGGATTGGTCAAACAATAATATCTTAGCTGTAGCGTTAGGTTCTAACGTTTATTTATGGAATGCTGGAACTGGTACTATAGAACAGTTATTTGAATTGGAAGCGAATGATTATGTATGCTCCGTTGCATGGATTCAAGAAGGTCCATGTTTAGCAGTGGGTACCACAGTAGGAAATACAGAATTGTGGGATTGCAGTCAAATGAAGAGAATGCGCGTTATGAACGGACATATAACCAGAGTTGGTTCTCTTTCCTGGAATTCCCATGTACTGTCAAGCGGCTGCAGGTATGCACTAATACACTAGATTGTTAATTTTTGTAATTGTTGCCTATAAGTTTTAAAGAATTGATCCTTATAGAGAACGATTTCGTAAAACTATCGATTAGATTGATAAATATAATAGTTATTTGAAATTAAGTACATTTATTAAAGATTTTGGAAAATTACATAACATTAAAGTGAAAATAAACCGAGATGTAACTGAGATTGAAACTAAAAGTAAAGTTCGAGTTTTGGAAGTAAGATTAAAATTACATTCTTGTTTCCAAGGTCTGGTAAAATAGTGCATCATGATGTCAGAGAACGAGATCATTTGATCTCAACTATAAACGCACATGCTCAAGAAGTGTGTGGCTTGAAATGGTCGCCTGATGGGCAATATCTAGCGAGTGGTGGCAATGACAATATGCTGCAAATCTGGTCGTCACTCGCCGGGCAAAGGCATGCTCAGACGCAACCTATTTATTCGTTCAATCAGCATCAAGCTGCTGTAAAAGCGCTCGCTTGGTGTCCTTGGCAAAACAACGTACTCGCGAGCGGTGGTGGTACCGCCGATCGGACCATTAGGTTTTGGAATTGCAGCTCAGGCAAGTTACAGAAGAGGCAATTTATAAATTATAATAATTTAAAGCACACAAAATTTATAGAAAAAAATACGAGCAATAAAAATAAAATAAAAATTATATATAACACGATTCGATTTTTTGTTTGTCACAGGTGCTTGTTTGAATACAATAGATACAAAGTCTCAGGTCTGCGCTTTGCTATGGTCTACGAACTACAAAGAGATTGTTTCTGGACACGGATACGCGCAAAATCAGCTAACAATTTGGAAATATCCGGCGATGACGAAGCTCGCGGAACTTACCGGACACACCAGTCGTGTTTTACATTTAGCCATGTCTCCGGATGGAACTACGGTGCTTAGTGCTGGTGCCGACGAAACGTTAAGGTTGTGGAAATGCTTTCAAGTGGATCCACAGAAAAAAAAAGAATCTACTGACATAAAATCAGTTGCGTCTAGGCTCAAACAATCGATTCGATAAAATTGACATGTAATGCATGTTGCTTAGCGATCATTCCAGTATTTATTTTTCTAACTGATTGTGATGCGATCGGTATATACAGGTATATAATATAAATAGAATTAATACAGATATATGACATGGTCGAATATTATCGAACATAAAAATATTGACGTATCGAATAAATTGATTGATCTATTTTATACAGAGAAAGAAAATGCAAAAGTAAATACTTAATATTGATAGATCCAAGACTGTATTTCAGATACATGTACGATCGGTGAAGAAAGTAGATGTAAGAAGATATGATTGTTAAATAATTGAAGTACAAACAAGCTTGCGTATTACGTCTCTAACTTTTATTATATGAAAATTCAGATTCTATTTGCAACAATCATTTTTAGGGTAATAATTATACAACTGTAAGAAGTAAAAATAAATTTTTTCATAGTAAATTGAGTAACTTTTATTTCGTAATAAGCTTTTTATGACTATTTTGTTAAATTTTATATTTTTCAATTTTTCAAGAAAAGTTTTTCTTATTTTTATTACGTTATTTGGAATTTTTCATAAATTTAGAAAAAAAAAAAAAAATATATATATATATAAATCATCTGATTCTTCACTTTCAGCGTTACGTATGTAAAGAAATCTTTCTACCTTTCACACATATTAGAATAAAAAGGTGTTCATCACATCCCCACTCCTTTTCTTTTCCCTCCGCGCAAGCAAACAGGCAAGCCTTGTATTCAGGTATGCTACACACAGGTGCATTCAGGTAGTATCGAATAATAGGCTATCCACTTGTCTAAACTGTACATATAGTCTATTTATATACAATAACCAAATGAAAGTAAAATAATAATTGTTAGACACATAATATATTATTTAGGATATCAATGCAGAAAGATAAGCTATACCTACTTATTAATATTATAATATTATGTATATTAGTTCAGGTCTTATTTGTAGAGCTAGACATTATAAAATCAAGCTGTTTGACACAATAATTTTCAACGAAATATGAGCGAGGCAGAGAACAAAAATGCTTTATTAAAATCCAAATGCGAACAGTCCGATCAGCCGTACTCTGCGGATATTTACAACGAGGATGATCACGATTGGTGGGCAAGTGACAGTGGTTCCAGCACAGGGTCATATTACTCGGACACCGGCAGGTAAATTCAACAATCAGGCGTATTTGTGAATAGATGTGAATGATTTCTCCACGATTTAATATACTTAAATGCAGTTCTGTGGTTGAATGGGAATCGGAGATCGGACCCACCGGAGAAGTATTCTATATAGAATCCGCAGAGGAAAGTCTACTCGAGAATCCTACAATTTCGGAGAATGACATCGAAAGTCCTCAGCCCGAATTAACACGTCGCCGTAGTACAAGAGCTGGCAAACTGTTTCGTCTTATTAGACGCAAGGAAAGCAAGCGATGGAGCATGAGAAATAAAAGGATTAACAATAGTGCTACGACAAATAATGCAACTGAAGAAAAAGGAGATGGGAGCAAGGAGGTCAAATTTCAAGATTTCCAGGTACTAACTGATTTGGTGCACTAACAGCGATGACTATAATATGTCTATTTTGGAAATATTTAAAAGTAAATGATTTTA